ACTGGATTATCTGTACCGACTGAACGTGGCCGCTATACGAGCCAAACCCAAGATCAAGGACGGAAATCCAAAGCCGCGTCGGGAACACGTAAATCATTACATCGATACGTTGGGCGATCCCGAGTTGGCAGACCACCTAACGCTATTACGATTGGCTGACGTCGACGAACTTGAGGAAGTTCTCCGTGCGCGGGAACGAGCCAAGAGCAGGCAACGCAGATCCACGTTCGGGTCGAAATTTCGACAGAAGGCCCCGGCCAGCGCCCCGGCTGCGCCAGCCCGTGCCATGGTACGCGCGATCCAGGCGCAGGATCCGAGCTTCGAGTCAGAATGGATTTCGGGACCTGACGGATCCGACTCGGAAGGCGAACTGCAGGGGTTCTTCCTGGCCGCGCCAGAAGAGAAGTTGACCAGCACTGGGGGCGCCTCGCAGAACCCCGATCCTGCACGATCTCGAACGAAAACGTCTGAGGGAGCCCGGATCTCGGATCGACGCAGCCCGAGGACATAGATCACCAAGATCGATAACGCTGTTTTCATTGTGGGTCGAGGAAACACACGGATCTAGACTGCTGGAAACGCCTGACATGCGAAAAGTGTGGAAAGAGAGGCCACCCAACGGATCGCTGCCTTTACGCTTGTCACGGATGCGGAGACGTCCATGAGGCAGGAGAATGCCCCATGGAGGAATTCTACAATCAGATCCGCAAATGGTACGATCCGACTCGACACGCCGGGCTGTTCCCCGAACAAGTCGAGAAAATGTTAAACTAGGACGCACGCCGGGGTGGAATCCGGTACGAGCTGAGCGTTCTAGATATTGCATCTACGCCTACGTGAACAAGGCGAGGTAGGAAGGAGTCGGATCTACGCGGTAATACATGTAATTTGCATTCGTACACCGCCAAGATCGCGAGCCTCCCTCAGACCAACGAATTCAGCAGATCTAATGCGGAAGTGGCCTTGGATCTCAAAAGAGGAGAGTCCCGGGGATATTGGAAACGTCATGCACCGGGAAAATGATTCCGACAAGCCAAGATATCAGGCAGGATCAATCAAGAGAGGGATCCTGCTCCTAGATACTGGCGCTGAGGTATCAATCTTGGATACCACCTTTGCTCGGAAGGTGGGATGCAATTTTGACACTAGTCAGAGACAGGAATGTGTGGGAATCGGTCACAGCGTATATACTACGGAAGGAAGAACCAGGATCAAGATCACTTTAGCGGGATATCTGGAGTATTTTTTCGATATCTGGATCGGAGACCTATCAGGCCAGAACGCGGTCCTGGGCATGGATTTCATGGTCCCGGCCGGTGTGCGAATGGACTTCGCTGACGGATCAATGCGTTTACCCGACGAGGTCGGAATACCGCCCAATGGTCGTAAGAGACTGTATGGCGAGAAGGTGAGGTCAGTGATCCTCGAACGAAATCTGCGAATCCGGGTTGGTCGGTCGGAAGAAACAGCGGCGAGGATAAAATTGTCAGCCACAGAGAAACTGTGGGTGACCAGAGGAGAACGATGAGTACCGACAGTAACGGAAGGTCCCGGTCGGATCCGCTACCTGGTGATCTCGAACATTGGAGAAGAGATCCTACGACTGGACCACCGTCTGAACGTTGGTATGATACTGGATCAGGACAAAGTACCCCGATCCCCAGGGTTCGTATCCGTCGGGTCTCGGCGCTACCGGGAATGGCAGAATCTGGCATTGGTATCGACGGTGGACACTAGACCGTAGCCTCCAGAACTTATGGAGGAACCTGCAGAGCCGGTAGTACAGCGACCAACGTATCCCACACCACGATCAATACTTCGTCGGGCTGAAACCGTCGATATCGACAGGGATCGAACGTTGATATCGACCTTAGAGACTCGACCGAGGACGGGGATGACTAACGCAGCTCAGATCGAGGGAACGTTTCCCAATCCAGAGGAGAGTCACCCATCTACACCACCGACAAACTCCAACGCCGGTCGGTATCGGAGCGGCGATGCTGGGGGCGGCAGGATAAGTGAGGCATGCCGGACAGGCTACCGATTGGACAGATACCAAGGATATCAAGCCGAAGACGGAAAATCGGACTGGCACCAGGGATATCGAGCTGAAAACGAGAAATCCTAACTGTCAAACCCGGATCAAACTCTAGTCCGGCGAAGATCTCGGCGTAAAATCCCCGATCTTCCCGACTGAGGGCGTCGAACTACGTGACCCGTCGGCGGAAAGAGCAACAGCGACCACCCCACAGAATGCCGAGGCTGAGGATGAGATATCTTACCATGAGAGTGGTGATCTCTCAGCTGAAGATCTCGAAGGAAACCTAGCCGTCCTTCCCAAAACTCCGATCTCGACGACCGCGAAGGTCAGCATCGAGGATCTGCAGGGGGAAGATTCCGGATCGGCCACACGCGAGGAGATCGAGAAGCTCCGACAGATCATTTGGAAGAAGCAACACCTCCTGATTGACAAAGGAAATGCCCTACCTCTGGCGGCCTGGTGCGTTGTATGTTATATCGATGTTGGGAACGCAAAACCGATCGCGTTGCGATAACGGAAAGTACCCACACGATTTCGAGAAAAAGTCGCCGGCCTGATCAAGGGTCTCCTGGCAGCCGAGATCATCCGACCCTCGACATCACCATGGGCCTCACCGATCGTGATCGTTCAGAAGAGTAACGGTGTGGATATCAGATTGTGCATCGATTACAAGCTGGTAAACAGCCTCACGAGGCTGATGGTCTACCCTATGCCCCTGATCAGCGATCTACTGGAGGATCTGGACAAAGCACTATGGTACTGCTCGTTAGACATGGCCAGCGGTTTCTGGATCGTGCCCATGACGGATCGAGCTCGCGAGATCTCATCATTTATGCAATCGTTCCTGGGTAGTCTGAATTACTACAGCCGATTC